AAAAAATGAACTTAAATGATTTTAGCATATGGCTGCAATATAACAAAGAGTGAAAAATTTAAGGGGGTCTGAATACTTTCCGTACCCACTGTAGCTGAGCAGAAAGTCAACATACAGCTGGAGTTAAAGAGAGTACAGGAATTTGCATGTTTTTATCCTTCCAGGGGAATACACTAGAGACGGGCCAAGATTAGACATCCTTCTTCCAGCATTTTTCATATTGACTCCAGAGACTTGAGGGTCAAAAAACATACACGTGATGTACAAAGTGAACAGTTCACAGTGCCCTTTGTGGATCATCTCGAGTCAAGTGAAATATCCCACGTCAATATGAAAAATCTGGCGTGAACCACGTCGCCCTTTAAAAGAAGAGGCTGTCGCTGTGATGAGAGTGTTCCAGAAGTGTCTTGATCCATCAAAGCTGGGATGAGGAAAGAGACTGAGGATGTTCACGACCACCTTCTCATACTTTAACACACACACACGAGGATAATTCAGATGCAGGCCATAATCTGTAGTACAGTGAAAACAGATTACCTCTAAGTGTGCACTTTGTGTTGTGTACTTCGTTTGTTTCTCAAATTGTCCACACATTAGTTGGACAAATCTTGTTATCCATTGAAAACCCTTTACCTATGATAGCAAAACTGTTGTTTTTACATCTCTCTTGACTCAACAAGGTGATGTCACTGCTAAAGTCAAATAAATGGCGTGCAACTGGATAACTATTGAGGTCAAGGGTTGTAGGACCCCTCAGGTTGGGGGCAGTTATCTGTCTGACAAAAGTGCTGAAAGGTAAAGTGTGGTTAATGATATGCAGCGGGAATGCAACACAATCGTACATTGTAGGTTGGTTTGAGGAGGTAAGCTATTGTTTTAGACTGGTGATTTTTTACACCAAATAGTTTCTTCTATTATGGATGATTACTAAGGAATGCAGTGAAAAAATATTAATGCTGCTAAAAGGCAAAAGGTGCATTTCTTGGTTTTGAGGATAACAACAACAACAAAAAAAAACCCAAGGGAAAAGTAAAGGATTGTTCATAAACGGTAAAATTATATAAAGATAATGACAAAATTGCCAAAAGTCTTCCAGAGACTAGCTTGATATTGTTTCTCCATTTTATAAACAGTCTGATTGTAGGAATCAGAGTGGGAGGGGTCTGGGAAAAGACCAGAAGAGAGCGGTGCTAACTTCTTCATATTCCCAACTGTCAAAGGACTCTCCGCAGCAATACCCAACCCAAAGCGCGTGAGATGTAATCATTTCAGCACAATGACTGCAGCGCTCTCAGGTAATACAAATGAAGTCTAACGGGGCATTTCTACACCATGACAGACAAAATCTTTTTACGTTCAGTCTGTTGCGTTTCTTTATTACTGCGTCATAACAGTTTGTTGGCAGCTTATTTCATTTTAGAAAGGAACATGTTGGATTACGACTGAAAATCCTTGGATCAAGCTGTTGAAGGCGCTTTTCTCGAGTATGATGAGTGACTTTATGAAGAAACGCAACTCCTTCAGAATGAGACTGTGGACGTTGTTTGTCATGATCCCGCTGTGCGCATCCTCTCCTCAAGCAGCCGGTGAGTTTGAACTCGTGTGACTGAAACGTTTACGCAGCTCTTTATGAATGAAACAACAGTTCACGTGGTGTTTTGGGTGTTTTGGGAACCCATGTGCTTCACAACATCACAAGTGCACACATTTCAAGAAAGGGAGTTGGGAAGGCGAAATCGAACCTGAAACCTTTGCAGTAACCGAATCGAGTTACATCTGTAATTCTTCCCTCACTTTTACGCAGCTTGTACTAAATAAACGCACCCTTTCTTACCAGAAACGCTTCAAAGTCCATCTGTGGAGAGCGGCTGCTCCGGCAGAGCCTGCAACCCCCGCATGGGAAACTTGGTCCGGGGCAGAGTGCTGAGCACCCAGTCGGTCTGCGGCTCTAACTCGTCGGAGCCGTACTGTTTCTATAAACAGACGGCTGCTCCCCGCAGCAAGGAGTCCTGTTCCGCGGCTAAGTGCAGCAAGTGCAGCGCTGCCATTCCCAGCCAGGCGCACCCCCCCTCTTCCATGAGCGACTCTTCTTTCCGCTACCCTTACACCTGGTGGCAGTCTGCGGAGGGGGTGAAAGAGGAGACACTTCAGCTGGACCTGGAGACTGAGTTCCTCTTCACCCATCTCATCTTGGTGTTCCGCTCTCCCCGGCCTGCTGCCATGATGCTGGAGCGCTCCCAGGATCATGGGCGCACATGGAAGACCCTCAGATATTTTGCCGGTGACTGCGAGAAGGTGTTTGGTTTGGTAGAAGGGTCACCAGTCACGGAGAGCGGGGCAAGTTGCACCTCCAAGTATTCAGGAGCCTTTCCTTGTACTAGAGGAGAGGTGAGTACAGCGGCCGGTCTAGGAAATGTTACATCTTGTGGCATGTGGTTCTGACAATGTGGCACCGAAGGGCAGTTGGAGGTTTGCAGATAAATGACGATAGAAAGCAGCTAATAACTAAATATGTTATTTTGAAAGTAATTGTGAGCAGACCATTCAATCACAATGGTAAGAGATGAAGACTCACTGGCCAGCAAAAATGTGTTTAGCTCCAAAGTGCCCCATGTTGGGAGGTTTTGACTGATCTCATAATTGCAGTATATTTGCAGCAAGTATGTGTATGGTGCACAGTACTATGAATGTCAGCTCTGGTGTGTAGGGCCCTCACCCATTATAATTAGTGCCTGTGTTGTGCAACATTCATAGGCATTCCCAAAAGGTTGGGTTAAAATAAGGGTTTCAGCAATGAGATGACACTAAGCTCTTTGTTTGCAGTAGTGAGCTGCATACAGTCAGCACAAGTGATTTTGTTTTTCTTAATACAAATGAGAATCATGTTCTTTGTCAACTGCAGTTATTTTACAGCATATCCTCATGTCGCTGACACCTCTATTGTACGTGCAAAAAATATGGTGTCATAGACAAAATATATTAATTATGGTACAGCATCACATCTACTTTGTGTACAGTAACATGAATAATGCATGGAGACGGCCAGTAATAGGTTTGAAACGCATTAAATTTGATTTAACACCTTCAGTTAAATGCAAGGTTTAAAAATACTATAGTTCCTGACTTCTCCCCGCAGTGATACACAGAACTATTGAATAAAACTAAATGAGTTTAACGTTTGTCCAGATTTATATGTGTTTTGGTCCAGAACTTACTATCTCATGCTTCCTGCATCAATAAAAATCCTTAAACACCTTAATGTATGTTTGATGGTTTTCACTTGTGATGTTATTAGGACAACTTGACCATGTCATTTTATTTTTTATATCGGTATACATTTTCTTAGACAGACAGAGAGGATGTATCTGTAACAGCAACATAAAAAAAAACCCCTGCACGCACAATGAAGTGACCATCTTGTTTTTATTTTAGTTTGATTTTCCTAGAATAGCAGATATTTGGCAAACATGACAGGTGAACCAGGTGGCTGTTTTTATCTGGCAGACCAAGAAAAAACAGGAACTAGCATAATTTATGTTTTCTTCATGGTCTGTCAGTGTCTCTAAGATAAATATTTATCTCTTAGAGAGGCGTTTACAAATGGGATAACAAAGTTTTTCTGCTTCTGTGCATTAACTTCCAGGTGATCTATCGAGCCTTGTCTCCCTGGCTTTCAGTGGATCCCTATGGACCAACTGCTCAGGACCAGCTCATGATTACCAACCTGAGAGTCCATCTGCTGCAGCACCAGCCATGTCCCTGCAAGGCCAAACACCCTGGTGCTACTGTCCTTCCCACAGATCATTATGCCATATATGATTTTATTGTCAAAGGCAGCTGCCTTTGCAATGGACATGCTGACCACTGTGTTCCAGCCAGGGGCTACCAATCCAGCCAACAGAAGACCAGTAACATGGTGGGTGAACAATTCTGAGCTGGACTTTGTGAACATACAGCTTGCAGATACCTAACACTCCACCAAAACAAAAGCTCTTGCAGCTTGTTCTGTTGTGAATACTTGCTCAGATGTTGTGTCTTGTTGGGGTCTGTCAACACTTTCTGCTTGTCTCCATTTTTGTTGATGTGGTGAGACTGGGAGTAGATGAGGTTCTGTTCCCACCACTCCCTTGTTACTCAGTCATGTGCTGGTCTGTGTTGCTGAAGCTGAAGGCTGGATCTTAATCTACAACTTTACCTATCATTACAAGGATTAAAGGATGTGGGAACCTTAATTATGGTATCCAGTCTAACGCTTTAACACCCCATAGTCTCTGTCATGTTGTTCTCTTTACTGTAAATGGAGAATATAAGCACTAGTTTAATTCCAGCATGGCCTAAATGGATGTAAACTAGTTACACAAGCAGCAATAAACTGCACAGCATGTAAACACTGTGGTTGTTTACACCCTCTGCATGGTATGTTGCAATACTTAAGAAGGAGCATCATTATACACACTTAACATGTAGGTGCAATTTGAAATCAGCATCAATGCAAAGTGTACACTTGCACTCTGATGTCAAACTACAGCTTTAAAGAATGTTTCAGTCCCAGTCAGATCTTTGCCAAAATGTTTAAAAATTGTCACACCAATAGGATGCTAAGATAACAGGTGCGGTTGGCCACCCACTCTGCCCTGAGTGATAGACCTCTCCAAAACATTAACTGTAATATTTGTAAAGAATTCAAAGATGCATCAACTACAATAAATACCATAAGTAAGGGTTCATTTTCTGTCTGTTGTGTTTGCCTGGCAGGTCCATGGCAAGTGTGTCTGCAGACACAACACGGCCGGTGACCACTGTGAGCACTGCGCACCTCTCTACAATGACCGACCCTGGCAGGCTGCCAACGGCATCTCAGGGACTCCTCATGAGTGCCAGAGTGAGTGATGGGGCAAGAGTGTCAAATGCAGAGCAGGACACGATGTTTAGAAAATGATATTGGCATCATAAATCACATGTAACCTTTTAAAGCATCCTCTCTCTTCCTCTTTCTGTGTCAGTTACTCTATGAGTGGCCACTGTTAGCATTAGGTTTTGAAAGATGAGCTGATCTCACAACATTTTTTTTTGGTTGTATATGTCCATCTGAACACAGAGTGTAAGTGTAACGGTCATGCTAAGAGCTGTCACTTCAGTCGTGGATTGTGGCTGGCAAGCAGCAAGCAGAGTGGCGGCGTGTGTGATGACACAACACAGAGGGCCGTCACTGCCAGAACTGCAAGAAGGGCTTCTTCAGAGACCCCAGTCGTCCAAGAACTGCACCTGCCTCCTGCAAACGTAGGCCCGTTTGTTCTGTTTTTCCTCAGGGTGTGGCTTGTTATTTCTTTAAACCATAACCCAGATGAACGCCATCTGACAATTCCGCTTAACAGGGGGGAGCCTTTGATATTTAGAGGCCAGTAATGGAAATTTGACTTTTTGTTTGACCATCCAGATTAAAGCAGATTGATCTATTTTATAATGGTATTTCCCCACAGCATCTTTCTAAGTTACTGCCTTGCCAGTGATGAGACAGTAAGATGACCCCAGTCCACTCCTTAGCAGAAATGATGGAGGCCATACTGTTTTGGAATGTGACTGTAATTGCAAACAATGGAGGAATTTCCTGTGGTCCATAAGAGCACATTTTTCCCATTCTTGCCCTTTTCCCTAGGCTGCAAGTGTGACAGCATAGAGAGGGAATGATTTACTGTTCTGGTGCAGCTGCTTAAAGCATATTGAGTACATACTCTCAGCTCATTACAAGAGGATGATAAAATGCATGTAACTTTTATATTGCCATGGGAGGTCACTGTGTGTGCACTAAATACATTTGTTTTTGCTTCTACAAGTGTGTTTGTCCTTTATGTACTAGTGCATGCCACTGAGTGCTTCTAGGTCTGTGCCTGAGAAGGACTTACAAACAGAGGTGTTAACATGAAGCCCTCTTGTTCCGTCACCTCTCTCCTCTGCAGCCTGTTCCTGCCACCCTGTAGGCTCTGTCCTCTCGGGTGGCACCACAATTTGTAACCCTAGAGGTGGGGAGTGCACTTGTAAACCTGGTGTCAGAGGTCCCCACTGTGACAGCTGCATGATGGGATACTGGGGGCTTCATGAATACGGCTGCCGTCCATGTGACTGTACAGGGGACTGTGACCCATATACTGGCGATTGCATTTCTGGGTGAGAGCCAAGACTTAGTCATATGAATGAGCAAATATAAAACAGGATAAAACGATGTAGTGTGTCAAGGTAGAGAGCATTCTGGATTATTAACATTATCTCTGGCTGGTTTTACCTCTGTGGCACAGCTCAGACGTGGAGGCCTTCTATACAGGCACTGGCCAAATGGGACATAGCAGCACTAACAGTGAGACCACCCTCTCCAAGGTAGAGGAGCTTTTCTCTGCACTGCACCACTCTGGTGAGTCACAGGTCATATCATACCTACCTCATCAATCCACATAAATAAACCAGCTGTTTTGATCTTGAAATCTAGACATTGTGATGAAATGGTTTATATGAGTCTTACTGACCATGTTTCACTCTTCCAGAGGAATGTGAATGCGTAGAAGTTAGTCTTGACAGTCCTAAACTCTTCTGTGGTGCAGAGTATGACTACGGTAAGCAACAGAGATGTGTTATGAAAAGCGTCTAAGTCTAAACGTTTGAGAAGTGGAAAAGTTAGTAGTTGTAAGGCTGTTTTTCCATAAAACCACTTTGTTAAATGACTGTATTGCCTTGGCAGTGCTGGTGGTGAAGGTGATGTCAGCTCACGATAAAGGTTCCCATGCAGAGGTGGAGGTCAAGGTCAAGAAGGTCTTGTACCAGAACCCTCAGATGAAGATCCAGAGTGGAAACATCACCCTGTACCCAGAGTCCTGGACCATCCAAGGATGCACCTGTCCCATCCTCAACCCAGGTCAGCTACAGCCAGTTTTAATGAGAACCCTTATTGCTTACTATGCTCAAGCTTATGATTAGTCAACTCTTGGGTGAACAGTCTGCCAGCTTTGTGCTGAATAGAAGCTCTTTGTCACTCACTGTGATTTTGAGTGGGTGCCAGTGTCTTGACATCACTCATCTAGACTGGACATTTATGTAGATTAGAACCACCCTTCTGTTATAAGACTATTTCATAATAATCATTTCTGGCAACATTCATCCAAGCCAGCCATAGCAGCACAGTTAATTCTAGTTATATAACAGTAGCTCTCTTTTTTTTTACATAAACTGCTTCCCACTGTGATTTTTCTCTTGGTCTGTATATGTTAGTGACCGATGCTCTTCTCTCCAGGATCTGAATATGTCGTGGCCGGTCATGAAGACTGGAGGACTGGCCGAATGACGGTCAACACCAAGAGCCTTGTTAAACCGTGGAAGTCAGGCCTGGGACGCAAACTCCTCCACATCCTTAGAAAAGTTTGCAGCCTGTGGTAGGGCAACGTTGAACTGCAGTGGACAAAAGGATGACGAGAGGAAGATCAGCTGTGACATAATGTGTTGAATGAGTGAAATAATGAGTAAGATGAACATATTGAATAAGGCATTGCTTGGACACTAAAGTAAAAGCAACGAAACAAAGTGGAGTCCATGGTCCATGGTCATAGGTAAGTAAGCAGGTACCTTGCCAGACTACAGTCGATTAAGGATCACAAAGAAGAAAGCAACCTACAAACCTTTCATCCAGATGTGGTATCTGTACCTCAGCTCATAATTCTTTCCAGATTATTATAAATCTCTAGGAAGTTAATGTTAAATACTCTATCATACTTTATTTCCTGGCTGAGGCTGCTGTCAGAGTTGTCTGGCTCTATCTGTTTCATTGAGAGCTTTTTATTTTCAGACATTGCCAAGGTGGAGACTGAATCAACCTTGTCTCACAGAAACTGGTGATAAACCATGAATGAGTCAACATCAGACTGTGTGAGCGTGGATGTGTGCATATGCTTGATGTCCTTGGCAGGGAGTCTGGAAGTATGCAGGTCAGAACAAGTAACTCCTGGAGGATGAGAGAGGATGAAAAAAAATATTTAAGGAATCAAGCAGCTTAATCTGAACAGTTCTGCTGTGCTGACGCTCGCCCACCTGCTGTCTGTCAGGAGAAAAACACACTCCGCTCCTCTCTGGTTTGCAGTACATGCAACCAGTTAAAACGCTCAGGACTGAGTCTGCTCTTACAGCTGGTTTAGTTACAACAGTGTATTGATGTCAGGTGCTTTAGTCATACTCAGTTCTGTCAGGATTTTCTGCTGCCCTCATAAGATCTGCTTGCATATGATGAGGATTTATTTGAGAAAGCCTCTCTGAACCGGACACTGTGGAAGCCAGTGTGTACGTCTTGTTTGTGAGAAACAGAGCACACACTCTATTAGCATGTTTCTCCTTTTGGCCTGTGACTCCTGCGTCCCTAAAATAAATATATATTAAAAGCCTGCGTACTCATTGAGTCCACAGGCCAGTTTGAGCCCAGTTAAGAATAGGCTTGATTTGCTGTATCCAAGGAGAAGGACAAAACAGCGTGAGGCGACATGATGCATTCCTCAGCCATGAAATCACTGCCCGCGTCCTTGCCCCAAAGACTTTACCATAAACATGAAAAAACAGGCTGGAAATTTCCTTGTAAAGGACAAACTGGTGATTTAGAGTGTAGGAATGTTCTCTGCCATCAGTGTCACATTTGTATTGTTGTTTTTGTCTTTGTTGTTTTTCTCATCTAAACTACATAAACTACATGTGACTGTACTCCTTCTAAGTGCTTCTTGGAAGCATTTGTCATTCCCTTAGTTTTATATTTCACCCATACAGTATTATATGTAACATCTTCACTAGCAGAGGTGGCTGACTGATGTTTAACCCATGTCTTAGTACTGCCCTCCTTTGGTTAAAAGAGAGAAATACACTTATCTCAGCATATATTGGTAATGGAACTGATTATGTTGAACTCTGTCGCCTTTATAAATTTGTACACAGTACTCAGCACAAGATTTATAGCAATTTATTTCTAAAGAAAAAATAGAAATATACATTTTCATAGCAGTTATTTTTTCCACACAAAGATAATGAAGCGTGGCATTTTTAGGAGAGTTGTTCATCAAAACCTTTTTTGCATGATTCTCTTGCATATATTTCTTTTGCATATTTCTTAAAACCAGCTCATAAAATATAACTAAAATAATGACACTATTTTATAAAGATATGCCCTTTGCTTATTGGTTTAATAGTACCATGACACATGTATTTTGCATTTGCTAAAACAATTACCTAATGGTACCCAAGCAGTGGGAATTTAAATCAGATTACTGCATATTTTCTATCAGTCTGAAGAGATTTATTGTCTTTGAGCTGCCATGCTTCTCCTGGTTTGCCTTGAGTTTTGGCGCATGCTTAGTAGTCATCTCCCCGGCTCACTACCTCCTTGCAGTTGGGCCTGAGTAGTATGGTGTGCTCGTACTGAGCAGTGTAGCTGCCCTTGATGTCGCAGAGTGGCGGGTATGGGTCTATGATGCCAAGGTCACACAGGTTCTTCAAAGCCATTAGGTACTTGCTCTCGCCCAGACGGTCCAGCCAGCGGCGGCAGAATGCCAAGGTACCAAAGTTCTCATTTATCACATTCAGCAGGTGTTTAGCCCTGGGGAGTCTGCAGCAGTGACAGAGTCAAGGTGAGACAAACATGACAAACTAGAGGTTGGATCTATAGGTGTAAAGTAACATGCAGACATGATGCCTTATTCATAGTATCTTTAGTCAGAACGATGGCTTAGAAGACAGTATAAAGAGCAGATCATTTTCCAAATCAATATTCTGAATTTCAGCACAGGAATGAGATGAAAACAGCAACCTTATTGGCACGTGTCCAACACTGAAGTTTTTCATGTAATGTGAACACTCCATGTCATCATGGACTGCACCTCTTCCTGTGCTGCCAAATGTCTCAATGGCATACACTTCACCTTCCTGAGAGGCAACACAAAATACAAACACACCACTTCATTTTGTTTCTGACATAAAATGTAAGATTGCTGTGAAAGTCCTGTGACCTGTCTAACTACAGTTTACTTTATATAAGGCTGAATGAGTTTGATTTTACTGAAAAGGACAAAAACAGCTCCGCAGGGGACAGAAAATGAATTTAACAAAACCTCAAGTTGTCAGTAGCTGACAGGCAGGCCATTAAGGACAGTAGTACACTTTCTAGAGCTGTGTCTCCTTTGAGTTTGACTTGCCAGGTTGTATTGGCATTTTGTGTCTCTATCAGTGTGTGTTATGTTGTTGGAGTCTGTGTGTTATTGGCTGATAATGCTGTGACACCCTCTCTCACTGCGCTGATAATCAGTCAAAGTGCTAGCGGCCCTGTGGCACACCCAGCTGCCACTCTGGCCGTGCACTCTCTGGTCACAAAGAGCCTATAGCCCTGTTACACCAACACACAAAGCTGACACATCAGTAGCAAGCCCCACCCACACGGTCCTGGAACCACAGATAACTGGTTTGAGGCAGTAACTCAATTAAAATGCTCAGTTCTGTCCAAAAACAGTGATGGACTGCAGCTATGGATCTCAGTGCAGTCCTGGGAAATGTAATATAGTGCAAAGCCATGTTTCTCCTTCCCCTGTTAATGAACTCCGGATGCTCACATTTCAGTGGTCTTACGGTGAAATGAGGAACTGGAGTTTGAACAAGTTGTTGTTCTATGCAGCTAGTAATTCCCTTAAAAGTCTAATTTGAGGGTGACTAAAAAAGCTTGTCCACGCCGCACTGTAACCCTAACAAGCCTCATGTTTGTCTGATTACGCTTAAAAATTAAGAAAGGATTTATATGCAAAGCCAAGTGGCTAAGAAAGGTTTAATTTCACACACTGCAGTAAAAAGGCTTCAGTCCTGTTTTGTACACTTAAATATAGTCACACCCAAATGTATAGTTTCATTAACTGTGTGAACTTGAACAGAGTATGCTGTGCACACTGGTGTACAAACCTCCATTCTTGTGGCTTCTCCACCTTTAACAATAGGAACTGTCTTCCCTGAGTGTATCCTGTACTGTCCAATAGAATGGCCATTCAGATTCCTGATTGGCTTCACTATAAAGAGAACGCCACCCAGAGAACCTGCTTTAATAATCATCCACACTGAAGCTGTGCATGAGGAAAAGGTGATAAATGACCTCATATTACCTTGATATGTCTTCCCATCTATTTCCACTTCATAAGACTCCATGACCTCCTGGATGGTCTCACCAACATCACACAGGCGCACATCAATTCCTGCACACTGGTATGGAGAGGTGGTTACACTGACGACAGTAAATATTACATTCCTCACACCCAGACAGCCTTGATGGTAAGGAATATTTGCCACCCCCTTTTCCAATGTGTTCAGCAGTGCTGACACACTTCCTAGTAAAGTACACAAACTCCTGAATGGGAACAGTAAGGAGTAAATCAGGAAATAACTGCTAATAAATGGAGAGCAGCTCCTGAATAACTGTAGATATATGTGAATCTGTACTACTTTTATGAATTATTATTGACTTTGTAATGACCCTACAGATTGTAAAGCATTGTGAAGCAAATTTGTGATATTGGGCCTTCACACTCTGAAAGATGCCTCAGATTTAAGTTTTATTCTTAATCTTAAAAATGGCATGGCTGATAGAGAACAGACATTTTGGCATGGAGTTACCCACCCAGTGCGATCAGTACAGGTAGAACTAATAACATTGGTTAGTGCTGCCTCGTGTCACTCTAAACAGGATCAGCACAGCACTTCAGTTCAAACAGGAAACACATGAACGTTTTCTACAGGTTTTTAATATTCAGTATAATAAATAAATAAATATCCTCATATATATATATATACTGTATATTAGACTGTTTGTGATGAAGTGCTGTGCTGACTGCTTGTTTTCCTGTTTAGGAGGGTGGGCAGGAGGTAGAGCAGGTTGAGTCCAAACCGGAAGCTTTGCGGTTTGATTCCTGGCTTCTCCAGTCCACATGTCAAAGTGTCCTTGAGCAAGACACTGAACTTAACCCCAAGTTAATCCTGGGAAGGTCAACAGTGTGTGACTGTGTGAGTTTAATTGTAAGGCACTATAAATAGGAGATGTGTTCTGAATACTGGTATGATGATTCAAGATTTGGTTTATCTTAGTGTAAAGTTCAACCAGCAGAATCATCATCCACAGGAGGAAGAGCTGTGTTACCCTGATGCCGGTGTCTGTTGCGTCTCTCACAGCCTCCAGCAGCCTGTCATACTTTGGATTGAAAGTGACGGTGAAGGCACAGTCTATTATTCGACCTGAAAAACCAAACATCTGCTATCAAGCGATTGTGTTGCAGAAATATTCAGCATGTGTTAAGGTAGAAAAAGTTAATCAACTTATGAGAACAGTTTTTGTGAACCAGGAGAAATGATATTGTAATTGTTTTATTATATCATAATAAATGCCAAGAGTATGGCACAACATAACTCCAAAAGCATTTAAAAAGTTATTCGCGAGCTCTAACCGTTAATGTGAGTTCCAAAATCAATTTTGCAGACGTCGTCGTAGTGCAGCACGGTTGGGTCTCCTGCGTTTGGGGTGTAGTGGGCAGCACAGTGGTTGATGGAGCAGCCAGTGGGGAAGGCCAGGCCTGCCTTCAACCCATTTTCTTTGATGAGCTTCCTGGAGCAGTCCTCTAGCTTCTCACTGTGAGAAAGAGAAAGCAGCACAAAGCGACAGTGAATGATTGGAACCATGAGACTGTTGTCAGGACAGACAGCAAAGCATCCAGAAGAGGCCGAATCCACAAAGCATTTTCCCTGCTTTTTTTGGTCATTTTAAACTAGTTTCTTGTGAAGCCATAGCAATATCAGCCCAGAATCAGCTCAAGCAGCCAAGGTTTAAGTCCCAGAAAAGGGGCTCAAAGACAATCACTGCAGTGCATTCCTCACCAGATGTCAATCATGGTCATTCCTGTTTTGATCCAACTCCTTACGTAAGAGCGGACCTGTCGGTGAGCCTCGGCTGCCTGCCTGAAATCACTCCACATCTCCTCATTGGCCCTGTCCAGCGCCCTCTTCTCTTCATTGGTGGCCCGCCATGCTGCACTGCGCCTGGGGGGGAAGTAGACAGGTGCACCACAGAGAGGAGGTTTTCAGTATTCTCTCATCATGCAACTATTTCTGAGGATATGACACACTCCTTTAGAGACTCTACACAGGTGCAAGCGATGTTGACACTTTTCAACTGAGGACAAATACGACAGAATTCATTTATTTACACCTGAATGGGAAATGAAAACACATAAAACATTGCACCTCAGTCTGTTGTCTAATATGAATATGTGCAAAGCAGAGAGACCTAAAAAAAACTTGGCATGTTGCACAGTACTGCTAAGTGTGAGGGACGATGTGGAGGTCACAAACCCGTCTTTTGATGGGGGATATTCACACTCCTCTCCCTTTGGAAAGTCCCCATTGGGATACAGCTCACAAATTGGGACTGAGGGAGGGTCAGTCTGTCCCCTCACTGTGGCCCAGATAGCGAAAAGGAGAAGCAGGACAGATAAAAGAAAACGTGACTTATCTTCCCCATTTCATGACACCCTTTTTTTGAACTTAGCTAAAGAATAATTAATGGTACAGTTTGTGACTAACAGGTCTAATTACATGTAAATGCATCGCCCTAGAGTAAAAGAAATCACTGACTGAATTTTATTGCTAGTATGTGGCAATATGAAAACACTCATTGTAGTTATGTAGCATACTGTTTTTGGACTGCCTTCTTCCGGTTCACTCCCTCCACACTGTAACATTCAAGGTGCTGATGCATTTTGTCCTACACCTCCTGTGTTAGTCCTACACTGTGTAATCCTCATGACACTAATTAACCAAGTCAAACTGCTTTTGTGCACCTGTTTTGGAAAGCTTTTGCTGTAGGGTTTTACAACGGAGTGTAGTCTAGAAAATCTGATGTGCTTCTGTTGTATACCTGTGACAGTATATATTTTTTTCACACTATATATTCTTCCACTGTGATGTGAATTCATTACAATTTTAATTCTCAATCAAATTAATTTTTACACACAAAGAAAAAACTGCTTACATCCTTTGCTCTTTTTCTTCTTCTTCTTCTTTCCAGTTGAGTTTTCTCCCTCACCCCCATCTGTTGAAAGCATCATTAGTCTCAGTACAGTTTGTACAGTGAGAAATATCGACAGGGGCTTGAGCAAAATTCCCACTGAGCCACTGAGAATCATTATCACACTGCAGATATGAGCAGCTGAATTTCACAGTGGACTTTCAGTGACTTAAAGTTTAGCACATTCACCACTGCAGATGAGGATGATGATGGTAAGCAGTTACCTTCTTCTCCATCCTCCTCCCTCTCTTTGTCCTCCAGTGTTTGCAGCTCCAACTGTTTTGTCACATCACCAACACCTCCGGCTTCTCCTTCCCCCTCAGCCTCATTTGTCCCTGCTGCAAAGTCACATGCCCTCGTGCATGCATGTGCGCGCGAGCACACATGTGAACGCCGGCGGTGTGCATGGCCGTGCACAGACACAAACAGATACAAACACACACACACACACACAGAGAGAGAGAGAGAGCGAGAGAGAGAGAGAGAGTAAGTAATAAGTGATTTCAAAAAAGTGCATTCACAAAACTTGGCAGAGTCTGTGCATAAACCCTTTCTAGGAGTCAATATCCTCAAGGGCAAAGGTAGAGATCCCTGCAGCATTATGACATGTATCTCTTCAAATCTAGCGCTGTGTGGGCAACACTTGACTTAGGGCAGGTTCAGCAACTCAGGCAGCATGAGACAGTAAGGCTGCAGTTATCATGTTATTGCTGTTTTTTTGAGTGCTTCTCATTTTATCACACCAACTCTACATACTTCTTTTACATAATATCATGCTGGTTAAGGGGATTTATAGGATAGAACATATTTTATTTGGAGAAAAATTATATTTTATTCCACCCACACCTTTCAATCAGTTTTGATGTTACATTCTGTTTTTCAGAGAATGTCCTGTTGCCAGATGAGCACTCTCATTTGCAGCTGCAGGCGCTCAGCTGGATAGGAATACTCTCTGACAGGTTGAGAAGTCCCCTGTCACGCATATTTGATGCCTGAGAGGCACTAGACATATTTGTGCAACTGTATTTCGCAACGATTCTCTAACCGCAAAGTGATGCCTCTTACCTGGTGCGATGGTCTTTTTCTTTTTCCTCTTTCTTCTCTTTTTCTTTATTGATTCTGAGGCGTCTGAATATTCTCTGTCCTCATCCAAGCTGTCCACATTAAGAAGTTGAGGCTCCACTTCATGCTGTAGCTGTAGCTCCGCCATGACCAGCAGCTGAGAGATGAAGTGACGCATACGCTGCTGGGAGCCTCCAGTGGTCAAAGCAGCGAAGTGTGCTGGAAGCATCTGAGCCAATAATGACCTAGTAGGATATAGTGTCTGTGCAACAACTCGCACCGAGTAGAGGAAGACGACCTCTGCTCCGAGAGGCAACAACTTTCATATTTTTTTTCTCCAAGGAAAATTACATTTTGGGACCGATGGTACCGGGACAGCAACACAATTGCTGAAATGCTTGCTTTGCTGTGTCCACTTGGCCTGTGAAAGCTGCACCCCACCATACCAGAGTCATCACTTTCTCTGAACAGCCAGTCAGCGGAGTTTCGGGTTACCTGGCAGTGCGCACCTGTAGGCGACTGCGGCGCTTCTCGCCAGTGTCCACATTGCCAAACAATCGACGCCTTATCTGTTATTGTGAGTAATGATTTGTTCTTTGTATTGCAACAGATGGTTTTTCAGTTTAATGGGATCGTAACACCAGTATTTGTGTGTATCCAAGCAACGAGTCTCACACACAGCCATATGCACTTCAATTGGTTTGTTGGTATTTAGTTTAATTTTCTGAAAGTGGGATCATATAAAACAAATCCCTTTGGCTTGTTTTTAGGAAGTAATGACTTCTTCTGGTGGGCAGACAGAATTCAGACCTGGGCCTTTGTATTTCTTTGACCAGGTGGGCTGATGATTGATTTTGCTGACTGTATACTTTGAAAGAAACAGCAACTGATCGTTTACTTGACTTTCCAGCCAACAAGACGAAGCAGGATTAAAGGGACGCGCAGAAACATTTTGCATTGTAGTGTGTCACACGAGGAGGCACATTTGGGAGACGCAGCAAAAAGGTTAGCCTGGCTTGTTACTATGCGTAATTAGGCAGTTTTGCTTCTGATACATGTGTCTAAAATGTTGTCATGTCTCCTAGTAGTGGAAAGAATGAGGACAAGGAGCTGACTGGCAGGCTGTCAGGTGCACCATGTGGGGATCCTGGTGCCTCTTCTGCTGTGGGTGCTGCGCACAACATAAGCGACCACGATCCGGTGGGCGCATACAAGCGAGCAGCCCCTCGGTTACTAAATGAACTGGCTGGTTTACTTTCACAACATAAGTGGACTGACAAGAGACGTATTCCACGCGGGATTGTAAATATTTTGAATTACTCCTGGCAGGATCTGACTGCAGGGGCGGTCTTGAAAAGTCCGGAACAGACTGACAAACAACGAAAGTTAAAAGGTTCCTTGGAGCTGGAACAAATTAACAGACCGATGTCCTCCAATGACACGAACCAAACGGGAAGCATCGAATCATGTGTTGTGGGAAACGTCGGTCCATCTGAGAGAAAGACACGAGTTAGCTCAAATCCACCTGTGAAAAAATGCAAAGTCTCCAAAAAAGGTAATGAAGTATTTAAAACAACATTTTGAGTTAGCCCAGTAAGTCAAAATTGTGATATATATTATCTCCAAATTCTGATTAGGTATTTAATAACTATCACTGGGTAACTCCTCATTTTAATTTATCATGATAATATTTATTTATTATAAGACGACTATATAGAAGGTAAGTAAGGGGAAAGTAGTGGCTTTATTTATGGCTAAAAAAAAAATTTTTTATAATGCTCTAAAGGCCAATAATATGTCACTAATAAGAGCATCTGGACCACAAGTAATGTATTAACAACTTATTAACCACCACAGACTCTATGGGTTATGAAAAAATGACATACACTTTAAAAGTGACTTCCTAACATGTCATTTCATGCTTGATTTAATTTGATGGATTATTGTTTCTCCTTTTGTAAATCAGCAGATCTACAGATATAAATGTATGGACATCATCACTGTGATGTTCTTACACTACAAAATTTAGCTAGTAAAAAAATGCTAAAAACAAAGACAACTAAACTGACTGTTGCTATCTGTTAATCAGTTACAGTGTTACTGAATACATGTCTTATAGATAGCCATTACTGTCTATACAGATGGTGATATATTGACTAGTTTCACTCCCCAACAGCTCACAGCTTCACAGTGGCCATGTCCTCCAACAGTTGTAAAGAGCCAGATGTGGCATGGAGCTGCAGCATTTTGTTAGTGATGGCTGATGAGTCTGGGGTTGACTGCCTGTTGTGCCTTTGCCGCCTCAGCTGGGTGTGATTTATTCCCAGGTTGGCTCACTGAGATGGAGCAGCTTTCCTATGATGCGCCTCAGCAGATCCAATTGTGTCAGTGGGTGGTGGAGCGACTGCAGGCAGAGCAAAATTCTGAGTGCGTTGTTAACCTGCACAGCTGCATTTTTCAGTACTATGTGTCATTTAGTGGTTACAGTCCAAATTTTCATATATGATAATCAGATTTTCCTAATGATGGCAACATTAGCGTATTGGTCAGTCCACCACTTAGATCTAGACTTAAATACCTTGGCTAGACTGTCCCAGAATTTGATAGAGATTCACACATCCTGGACAATGAATTGTAATGACTCTGGTGATCTGATATTTCCTGTAACACCACCATGGAGTTCGCATTTGTGGCTGTGATTAATTATGTCTCAACAACTATTGTATACAGCAGGCTAGATTATCTTAAAATTCGATATAACATTCATGTCCCCACTCAGGATGAAGTCTAATAATTTTGGTGATCAACTTTTTATGTTGTGCCCTTATTAGCTAAAATGTACTTAGTCTGATACTTTTTGATGAAATACCTGCCTCACTTGTTCTTACTTTAGTATTTAGTGCTAATTTGCATATAAGATAGTGAACTAACATGGTGAACGTGGTGAAAATTATAACTGCTAAACATCAGCATGTTAACATGGGACGTTAGCATTTAGCTTAGATTCTTTAGACTGTCTTGTTTTAAATTTAAGGACTAATTTAAGTGAATCTGCATGAGAACTAACAAATATTTAGTTGAATTTCACATGGTCATTGTGTTTTATTTTGTTATGTAACTCCTCAAAATGCTTACTATACTGTATACAGTAATTCATCTGCTTGAGAGGACAGTTTTTAAAATGTATAGTAAAATATGATTTCATCTTCACATAGAAAACCACAAACAGCAAAGCAGAACCAGAACACGGCCCTCATACTCCGTCACTATGGAGATGCAAAAGAACAAAAAAAGGCCCATCCTACCACTTTAGTTAATGGGATTCCCAGGATACCAGAAGTGAAGCAGCAGGATCGAGCACAGCAGAAACTATACTACAGGATCAGCGATGGCTCCTCATTCATATAGTATTTTCTTCCCACAACATACAGTATCTGTTCATAACTATTATAATTTTAGTGGTTGTCCAAGAAGCAAGTGCAGTGTAAGCATATGCCAAATATGTCCAATTCTGACCTTTGACCCTGCCCTCTCAGCTACCGCTCTGGTTGCATGGCCGTATGCCAAAGCCACTCAGGTCTGCACTGTGGAGGCTTGTATACCAACGTGTTCAGTGACAGCAAGTGTCCCACTGTCCTAGCAACTATCACAGCATTTGGGCATGGGGCTGTTACACACCCTCTTAGGTGAGTTCAGTTCTGATATGTGAGAATAATTAAAGTGCATCTTTAATCATCTATCACTCTGCATGTGTGACCTCTCTGATGATACGTCCTTATCATTTCCTCCAGCTCTGCAATTACAGCAGTGTGGGACCAGAATGGTGGATTCATTTGTGATGGATTGGGGAGCATAACTAAGGAGTGGAGCTGGCAGACAGCCCATACACAGAGGGAGATTCTTATACAGGTTAGGAGGCTGCCACGGTGCTAGAATAGTGACTTTTTTAGAATGCTGCGCCTTCTATGTGTTATAATCAAATTAGGTCACACCCAGCACCAGCTGTAATTTGACAGGAATTCTATCTCTGTGGAGTCAAATATCCTCTTGCTTTCACTCACTGGCAATGTGCCATAGTTGAAACTACCATGCATTAGCTCATGCTGCATGGATATCAGGCCAGAGGAAATTTCCAGACAACAGACGTACTCAGTGACAGAGCTGGTGAGAAGGGCTAAAAATCTGAGGTGGATCTGTCATGTGAAATGTATATTAGACGTGCATATGAGAAATGTCACATTTAGAGGAAACATACTGTAGCAGGAGATGCTGGATGTGATGAATGACCTGCTGAGGAATGAACACTAACTGCCTCTGACAGGACCAAGAGATTCACATTTCATTATGGTGACTGGGCTGGCTTGTTTTAGATCAGGGATATTTCATGCAGAGCAGAACGTATGACATTTGCCATTTGCAAGAAGGTTTCCATTTTAAAGTAATCAGTATATGTGTCTTTCTGTCTCCTGCAGGTGTCAGAGCTGATCGCTGTCAGGCTGCTCAGTGGTACTTCTGCCATGCTCAGCTTCAGGTGCAATGATGAAAGTGTTCAACTTCCCCTTTCTGCCCTGTCTAACATTCACCGAAAAAAAAAGGAAATGGTGAGATTATGATAATCTAATAGACAAAGGATTGTCTTGAACAGATGTATTAATGATTAAAAAAGGGAATTAACAGTATCTATTCTGCATTAACAGCCGTGTCTGCAGACTGATGGGAAGTTTATCTCTGATGCTGCTCTTGAACTCCTGCTGGTGAGGAAGACAAAATCCCCTGTGGTGGACCTAGAGGGCAAGACACCAACAATAACACCTGTAAGACAATGTAATGTTTGAGAGTCACTGCTAGTCTTGTGCTGAAATCTGTTCCTTGTGTTTTCTTTCTTCTTCTTCTTTTTTGCACTCTGCAGTTAGCACTAGGGCTTTGGCTAGGTGTTGCAGGAATAGCTGTTAGCAGCAGGGTAAGGTTGAGTTGAGTCTAAGCATCACAGAAAATGCCATAGATTTAGATTTATGTTAAGGTAAGGGGCAAATAGAGAGGGAAACAGACTGTGACACAACACTGGTACTAAAGATTTTGACTATATTGCCCCATAATTGTGTAGACCATAAAAGTGTACCTATTCTTTTGGTAGGAGTTTTCTATACCCTTGATACCGTCTTCTACGTCTACAAGCTTTTCAGTGGCATTCTTCGATTCCCTTTGTATAGAACAGCTTGATAAATTCCTTATGTTGTTCTATATAATAGTATTTCATGAGAGTCATGATGTATAGCAGGTATCTGTGTGCTCTGTGAAGGCCCGCCAGATGATCAGAGAGGTGGAGGGGTCCAGTGACCTTTCAGCACTGTGGAGAAGAGGAGGGCAAGCTGGCAGGGTGCTGAAGAGGCTTCAGCAAAGAGTACAAAACACCCTGGATGACTGGCTGGAGTATTATCAAGTGGCCACTGGTACCTACCAGCTTAGAGTTTGTGAACATGGCCTTTCTAGCTTTTGTGAAATATGTAATTGTGCCACCAGTGGATGGGTATGAGTTAAAATGGATGCATGTCATGCAAATAAAAATTCACATCTGACCTAGAAAGGTTGTTTAGAATAGTTCAATGTAGCAAAAGGTTACAGTATCCCCTCTTATTGAAGAGTTCCATCAAGATTTTGTATCGCTTTATGTCTGAGTGACCTATTCTTCTCCTTCAGGTATCAAGTGTCCTCACACAGAGCGGCTGCCAAATGCCCCACTAAAGACCAGGCTGGGAAGAGAGGTACAGTCAGCTGCTCTGCCCTCTCTGAGCACACCTGAGCGGGCTAATGCCAAACCAGGCCAGTCAGAGGAGGGTAGGAACGAGCTACAGAAGCTACACAGACACCTGTCACCAACAGCAGAGAGCCCTCCTGACTCCTCTGTCAGGCTGTCAAGGTGCACACTTCACACCAGCACACAGGGCAAGAACCATGTAGGCCATCCCATAAGCTCTGACTTATACCTCACATAGACGGGTGACAAATTAAAAGCAAAACCAACATAAAGTGTCTTAGTAAGGTGTTGGGCCACCAGAACAGCTTCAGTGCAACCTGCCATTGGCTCTACAAGTCTCTAAACTACTGCTGGGATGAACATCATTCTTCCAAATGATATTCCCCATGTGATGTTTTGATGATGGTGGTGTAGACACTGTCTAACACTGTGCTCCAAAATCTGCCATAGGTGTTCAGCTTGGTTGAAAACTGGTGACTGTGAAGGCCATAGCTTATAATTCATTTTCATACTGAAAACCATTCAGTGTCTCCTCGTGCCCTGTGGATAGGGCCACTGTCATCCTGGTAGAGACCACTCATTTGTTCGGGGTTTTCCTTTCAATTGTTGCCATCTGTAACTGTGTCTTAGCAAACTGTAGGGATGAAAGGCTTATTTACAATGACAGCTTCACTATCACCCCCTCCCTGCCAGGTCAGTGATTATTCCAGATACTCCAGAGCCACAGCCCTCCACTGTTCTCCACTGTCCAGCCCCACTGAAGTTCACCCCCTCCGTCCCTCTCACAGCGTGTCCTGTGGTGCTGAGAGCTGCACTGCTGGGGGAGGGGGGACGGAGGCGATGTTGCTGCAGCGCTACTCTGATGCCAGTAGTGAGGGACCTGGAGTATGATGCCTTTGTGATGGGCCAGCCTTCAAACAGTCAACAAATTCTGGTGGTGTGTGTGACTCTGCTGCGCCAACCCATCAACACACATAGAGTAGCTGACCAGGATCCACTGGAGATGCTGTACAGAAGGAGGAACAGGAACAGAACCATGCCCTGCACTCAGGTGTGAATGCTGACTTACAGTACATACAGGTGGATATGTATACCCAGCCAAGTACATTACCATCTCTGGTACACAATATGTACATCACTTGTTTGTTCCCTCACTGTAATACAATGACATTCAGTTTAATCAGCAAGTACAATAAATGTGCAGGCATTTTCTTGCTACTAATGCACATTTTGCAAGGACAGTGCAGCACTGCATACACTACAGAACAAACGGTCAGTGAAAGACGTCCTTTGGTCATCAGCCTATCATACTGTGATCATCATATTTCTGGAAACTCAGCAACATGTTATTTTTTTTTATCCAGTGCCAGATGGATTCATTTCGCCTTGTGAGGTATGAGATATCGCCCGGCTGTGGAGTCAAGAGCAACTTGCTGCAGCAGCGGCACAATGCTGCTCCCGGGATGATCCTGGTCAGTAAACCTGCTGCGGGCTAGGCCAAAAGCTGCATGCTCTGCTCAGTGCCACTAGGCGGCAGCAGCAGCTCTTGTCTGAAGGAGAAGAGCTGGTAGAAGATGAAGTTTAGCAGGGTGATAATAAGGTGTCATCCCACAGAAACAGAAACATTTATTATATTACTAATGTAGGCTAAGAGACAGTGAAGGATGACACTTCTTAAGAATAAAATGTGCTCTAATTATTAGCCCAAAGACATGACAGCTGCTCCACTAATTTGGGCTAAAAGATGAAAATCCCTGCTACAGTCCATAAATCAAAAAAGAAATTACTCAAATCATAGTGACATGACACAGTGTTCACACCTAAATACTTAAGGCCCAGATGTTTTACTCAGAAACTCAGTAAGAGCAGCCCTTATTATTCACACTGTTGCTTCCTCTGTTGTGAACTAAAAATAACTGCATGACTGATATGGCTTATGTCGTGAAAAGATGGAATCAACTGAGTGCTGCAAGCCATAATATAAAAATACTTGGACAAATCCTTATTAAATATGACAGGAAAAGTAACCACTGTGTGTGAATGTGGTGTTATATGTTTTGCTATTTCCGCACATACTATAAACTCTTGTTGTTTACAGATGTACATCAGAGGGAAGCTGCTGTTCCTGGGCTATATATGCAGTGATCACAGCTGCTCAGTCAGGGACCTTCAAAAGCAAATCTCCAGAAGCAGGGGAGACTACAGATTAGGTCTGGGCCTCCCACCGGACTACAAGTTCAGGTACGACTGCACCATACCCAATGTGAATACGATTTACTTTAAGAAACTTAAATAAATATGTTTCTTTACTAAAGGACAAGCTATATAGGAAAAGTCAAGTTTACCATTTGATAGTTTTTTGTCATTTACTTGCAGTGAAACAGTGAGCACCCTTACAGACCTAGATGTACAAAGTTCACAACATGGAAGACTTACATAACAGGAGGAAATGAGTAACGCTGTCAGGTTCAGCACAAAAGGCCAGTAAAAGGTGTGACTAAATTTGAATTTCAAGTAAAATCCTGCTAATTCATTGCTCTCTATATATAATAGAACAAACTCATAACCTGATACAGGTCCAAATCAGAAAAAGTTGGGACGGTATGTAAAATCTAAATTAAACCTGAAAAGAGTGGTTTGTAAATCATAATAATAATAATCACCTTTATTGGCCAAGTATGTTACACACAAGGAATTTGTTTCCAGTACAGAACCGATGGCAGCCAT